GACCAACACTAATAAGAACAAGAAAGGAAAGCTAACTTCGGACGGAGCCGAAGTTGATATACCCTTGCAGAATATTCTGTAAATTATATTTGTCAAAATTATTCATATGATGTATTCTTAATACTCATAAAATGTCCCAACTTCCTAACTTTAAAAACACCAAAGTTATGGCATTTCCAATCGTTTAGTAATATGGCAGCTATAGGATATAGTCGGCCGATCCTTATGAAATTTGGTAGGTCGGATTGATTGGCCAAAAATAAAACCCATAGAAAATCCCAACTTCCTAACTTTACAAACACCCAAGTTATGGCATTTCCGATCAATCAGTTATATGGCGGCTATAGGATATAGTCGTCCGATCCTTATGAAATTCGGTAGGTCGGATTTATTGGCCAAAAATAAAACTTATAGAAAATCCCAACTTCCTAACTTTAAAAACACCAACGTTATGGCTTTTCCGATCGTTCAGTTATATGACAGCTATATGATATAGTCGCCCGATCCGGCTCGTTCCGACTTATATACTACCTGCAATAGAAAGACAACTTTTGGGAAAGTTTCAAGCAGATAGCTTTAAAACTGAGGGACTAGTTTGCGTAGAAACGGACGGACGGACGGACAGACGGACGGACAGACGGACAGACGGACAGACGGACAGACGGACATGGCTATATCAACTCAGGAGGTGATCCTGATCAAGAATATATATACTTTATAGGGTCGGAAATGTCTCCTTCACTGCGTTGCAAACTTTTGACTGAAATTATAATACCCTCTGCAAGGGTATAAATATTGAGACTTTTATATTTAAAGAACTTTTATGATCTTCCATTATAAGCGTCACAAAGTCTATTGAAATCTGCCGAGGTGGGTGCATAAAACCCATTAGTTCTTCCAAAGAAAACGCTCACAAAAAATATGTTTTGGTCCCTGAAAAAACAAAAAATTTTACGATCTATAATATTACGAAAAAAATGGTTATTAAATTTTTAAAGACTTGTAAAATTAAAAACCGCACTTCTGTAACACTAATTCTATTGAACATATTTCATTTTTTATAGAAACATGATTTTCTCTACCACACCTGACCGCAATTTTAAATTATGCCCTTTATTTATTTAATTTTAATTACTGATTAAAATTTCCATTTATCAAGAAAACCGAAAAAACTTGGCACAACTTCTAGAATATTCCTCATATTTTATTCATTGGTAACCCACAATGAAAACAACTGAATAAATTGTATACGAAAAATTGTGCAAAAAGCCAAGGAGACGCGGACGTGCCTCTGGGCAGCAACCACGCCCACTTTTCCAAAAGTGTTCCACTTTCCCAGGTTTATTTGGCGCCCACCTCATTCCAAGATTCCCGAGAAGGCATAAATCAAGTGACTTTCACTTTTGCCTGTTCCGCCTTCGGCCTTTTATCTTATTTTGCTGTTTTTTTTTTTGCCGATTATAAATTTTTTTTCATCTGTATTATTATTGCGGGGATTTTGTCAAAATGGATTTTATAACACATGCTCAGTTTTATTTGATGAGGCATATCTATAGATGCGGATATGTATCGGTGACTACTTATCATGAATGAGAAGTGTTCCCCCATTCTTCCTTTTTGGGTGGAATAAACTGTCGGGTTTATAGGACGATATACCCCGGATCGGGCAAGGTGCCCAGACAATTACAAATGCATTGGCAATTGCAGACAAGGGCTGCATAGTTTCCGGCACGCATTTCGCTCGCTTTGTGCCATTATTTTATTTCCAATTCCCGGAGGGGGAAAAAACCATCCAGACTCGCTGTCCAGACGGAAAAGTTCAACGCACTGACTCAGCCATTGTTGGATGGCGATTGGCCATAACCAGACCAAGGAATCACAATCGGACGACTGAACTATTTGCAATTCCCCGACCCCAGAGCAGACCCACAGAACATCAAGCGCAGACAACCCGCTGACTCAGAAATGTAGCCCCATCCCCCGAGAACTGTCCACAATTTGCGGCGCCCCCATTTCGTGGCGAGTGAATTTACAATTTCTGCAGCGAGCACACCTTTATTACAGTTTACACAGAGATAAACAAAGCTACCCTAATTGGGAATTTTGTATTATGAATAAGAACTTGTGTTTTAAAGGATACAGAAACTTATAAGTGTTTATTGTGACTGATAACATTTTTATTTAATTGTAAGCCTTTTTTTACAGCACCTTATCTCTTTGTTAAAATTAAAAACCAACGTGAAATAAAAGTATTGTTTTTTAGAAAATATTTATTTAAGATTTATGTTTAATTTGATTTTTCCACAATAAATTAATTTAGTTGTTATTTATTGATGGACACCATTATTTTCTCTATGTGCAGAAGGGAAAAGTAAAATTCCACAGAGCTCTGCGGGGACTGGAAAACTGCAAATAAGAATGGGGAAAAGTGAACCGCAACCGCCAGCCATTTTCGAGTGTCTCCGTTGTTTATGGTCCGCTGCGGTGGCCACTGTCAAGTGAACATCTTCCACCGCCCATTTTCGACACCCACATTTCACTGGGATCCGAGCACCTCAAGACTGCAGGAATGCTTTCAACTTATTTCTTGCTGCTGTCTTGCTATTGGGATCAAGTCAATATTTGTCGAGTAAAAATTACTTCCTGCCCAAAATTCAGGCTTTTCTTAAGTACCCTCATTATACCCTTGCAGAGGGTATTATAATTTCAGTCAAAAGTTTGCAACGCAGTGAAGGAGACATTTCCGACCCTATAAAGTATATATATTCTTGATCAGGATCACCTCCTGAGTTGATATAGCCATGTCCGTCTGTCCGTCTGTCCGTCCGTCCGTCCGTTTCTACGCAAACTAGTCCCTCAGTTTTAAAGATATCTGCTTGAAACTTTCCCAAAAGTTGTCTTTCTATTGCAGGTAGTATATAAGTCGGAACGAGCCGGATCGGCCGACTATATCCTATAGCTGCCATATAACTGAACGATCGGAAAGGCCATTCCTTTGGTATTTTTAAAGTTAGGAAGTTAGGATTTTTTATGGGTTTTATATTTGGCCAACCAATCCGACGTACCAAATTTCATAAGGATCGGTCGACTATATCCTATAGCTGCCATATAACTGATTGATCGGAAATGCCATAACTTTGGTGTTTGTAAAGTTAGGAAGTTGGAAATTTCTATGGGTTTTATTTTTGGCCAATCAATCCGACCTTTTAAGTTTCATAAGGATCGGCCGACTATATCCTATAGCTGCCATATAACTGAACGATTGGAAATGCCACTACTTTGTGTTTTTAACGTTAGGAAGTTGGGATTTTTTATGAGTATTAAGAATGCATCATATGAATAATTTTGAAGAACATAATTTACAGAATGTTCTGCAAGGGTATTTCAACTTCGGCTCCGCCCGAAGTTAGCTTTCCTTTCTTGTTCTCTTTTGCTTCCCGCCACATTGATGTTTGCATTCCTGCTGCTGTCTTAATTTAAAAATTACAAATAATTGTTTGTACATCTTGGTTCACGTGACCGAAAACGTTTTAATTAGCGAATGCTCCGAGTTTTGGTCTCAGGAATTTGTCATCTTGTAATGAAAAAAGTTTATTTATCTTTCATGTTTTTACAATGGGATGTGTGAGTGATTATTTAATAAATGTTTTTTCTTTTGCTTTATCTTCTTGCTCCGTACAATTAATTAACATTTTCAAGGGAAAACTTTCTAAAAAGCGGTGCTTTTTCTTATTTGATGAAATTTTTGCCTTTTTGCTTGTGCTTTATTTCGCTCGTTTTCCTCAACTCATCAAAAATATTAAATTAAAGAAGAGATTGTTTAGTACTCAATACCTGAAATAATTTCTTTTTATAATAAAATTTGTACTTTCTGTATTGGTTATATAATATGTTTAACTTCTGTGTAGTCATAACAAATATTTAAGTTTTATTTTAATTCATGCAAAATGTTTATGCTTTTTTAAGCTTTAGTAGTTTTAAATGTAATTTTTGCAATATACTTTTTAAAATTTTAAAGTTTTTCTTCAAAATTGTTTAGGAATATTTATAAGCTTTACAAGTTAATAAAGTGACACATTCCACCTCATTCAAATACCATCAATTATTTTTAAAAGCCGTGCTCTGTCCCATTTTTTAGAGCCCATGTCCGGCTGTTTCGCCATTTTGGGATTGAGATTCGATTTTTGATGTCTGGCCTGGAATAATATTTAACGGGAAACGCGGAGGGGGCGGGTTCGCACACTTGTCATGTCAGTGGGGTGGCAATCTTGGCTGTTGTCCTTGTTGTTGCCGCGGCTGGTTGTTTGTTGTTTGCTTTTTGCTGTCGTGTTGGCCAAAAGCAAAGCGGCGTCGCCAGCGCCAAAAGCGTGTCAATCGAAACTGGAAACTGGCGGGCGTTACACATGGCAACTTCAATGCGTGGAGCTGGGCAAACAAAAATTCAAATGTGTACACAAAAAGTCAAGGACTCAAAAAAATTCTCAGATTTATTCGGTGCAACTCAAATGAGGCAGAGCAAACAGTTAAGCTGGTGTTTACCCAATCTATAACCGGATTGAGGGGCCAAAGACATCCCTAACTGGCCTGCATTTGGCGCAGCCTTCAAACGAATTTCATTTGCTCAGTCCAATTTGCACTTGAGTTTTCGTGTTTCATTGCGTAAAGATGTCAGCGAATCCATTAGATACACGCAATTAACGTCGCCGTAGAGCGCCATTAGCTGGAATTCATATTCGCTCTTGAGCGCGTGGACATGCCGGAAGTGCCGACGACCTTTGATCCAATGATGATGGCCTAAAAGCCTGGCGGTCGCTGCAATTACGGCTGTGGTTTCATGGCGAGCCTTCCTCCTTTACAGTCACGCAAAAGTTTGTCAAAGCATCATAACCAGCCCCCAACCGCAGCAATTAGCTTGTGTGTTCGGGCCTAATGCCCATGTAATTGGTTATCAGTAGGGTTTTTCAATTGAAAGTTGTCTTAAACATAACATAAAAATGTTTAATTGGGTCTCATAGATGTTAAATCATAAACACTATACAAAATATTATTGTCATTTAACTATGGAAAATATAATTTATTTGGATATTTGTGGTAGGGTATTTGAAGCGTCATATCTCTATGCGATTTTTGGGACCCGTGCCAAATGCATTTGCCAAATTCTCAGGACAGGCAAAAAGAGCAGTGTCCAAGGGCATAGAAACACCCCTTGGCCAGCATTTTTTCCTGGTACTATGGCATTGTGAATTCCACCGCCGTCGGTTCCATTTGTTGAGTTCTTCACCCGTCCATTGTGCCCATTGCAGCGGTTCTGCTGGCAGGATGAGTAGTAAGTGCGAAACGTTTCATCTGGTATGTTTCCATAAAGCATCTGTGGAGAAGAGAAATACCCTTATTTGATTATCTTTAGACAAACCAAACAGAACTTGATTTAAAATTTGAATTTCTATGAATTTTAAGCTTTTCAAATGGAAAATTTAGCATTGCAATTGGTAAATTTAATCTATTAAAAGAAAATAAAGAGGTGTATTCATATGTAACTTACCGCGGGTTCGTCCTGGCAGTCGCGCAAAAAGGACATCACCTTGCTCGAGTTGCGCTAAAATGGAAATGGAAATAGGGAATCCACATTACAATTATCTGCGCCACTGATTAATGGTACTCGCATCCACACCAATCATCACACTGGGCCACAAGGGCTTATTTGCATTCCGTATCTGCGAATCGAATTTGCATTTGCCCTCGTTTCAGCGGGCAAAGTAATTAATGCGCCATGCCCCCAAAAAGGGGGACTGCAGATGTGCGGCACCGAAGCAATCTATGGCCCCTAAGCTAATGCGTAAACAAAGTTCACACAGGGGACACATGGTGGATGTGGATGTGCCGGAGAGTCGGACAAAGTTTTAATTGCATTGCAGTTTGTTGGCAACGCGAATAACATAAGTTTCAAATCAAGCCCTGAGCTGGCCGTTGGCGTCTTTGATCCCCTAAAATTCAATCAGCGAGTTCGGCCCGTCTAATGAGGCACTTGCAAATTTTGAAACCTCATCTGGTTATGTAAAAGCTGGTAAAAGAAGAAGAAGAGAGGCGACAAAGTTGACTTTGTGGGGGTGTAAGCTGGCCTAAGCCTTCTAGCCACGGGATGGGATCCCGGCTATGTCAACTCGATGGGTGTCTCTGTATGTGGTGCTCTTTATACGCCTTTCTGGCTTTCCATTAAATTATGGTAATGGATTTTTTATGCACTTTGTTTTCGCTTCTTGTGCTTTTTTTACGCCCACTTTCTCGTCGACTCTCGGTCTCTTTTGATTTGAGCTGCTTACTGGTGAAAATTAAAGCCAGACAAGCTCCGTCAATACCATGAATGTATTCAATGAGTGGAGCTTCATCAAGCGTCTGCATTTGATTGCTGCACGCTTGCAAAAAAATATTTAATCCTTCGAGGATTATTTCTTTTGTTTGAAATCAAGAAATGAAGAAAAATCAAGAAACAGACACAAAAAATGCGAGAGTCAAGTCAGAAATTCAAAACTGTTTAACTAACAAAATAAAACTTTACAAATAGATCTAGTGTTACCATATTATCCTAGAATTTTTGTGCTTAAATTAAACTAGCAATTTATAGAACTTAGGCATGAATATAATTCAAAATAAACTTAGTTGTAATAGTTTTTTTAATTAAATGAACTACTATTCTAAGCTTTTTTCAGTCATTTAAGCGTTAAAGCTCGCATTACTCATACGCCGCGTGGGCCAGCAGAAACTGCAGTTCAGGATTCAATTAGTCGAAGTAGAGTGCTGGCACGATTTAATGGCTCCATCTCATTCTTTTAGTTTTGCTTGTCCTTTACGTGAGAGTCGCTAATTTCAGAAAGGGGCGAAACTTTAGCTGTGGCAACATTTAGCCAAACAAAGTTGAGCGATGCATAAAAATCAGGCATTCCATGTGTTACTTTGTTGCCGCAACAGCTGCGCTGCGGCAGCTCGAATTGGGAGTGTGTCTGCAGATGGCTGCCGGCGTACGTGAAGAGTTAAACGCTCTGCAATTCCCGTTCGCCGGCGCTTGGGAACATTTGTGGCACGTTCCACGGGCATTTTACGACCAGGGAGAAGTTTTTCCGGCTTCCAATAAATTTCCGCACACAGTGATGGAAGGAAAGTAGGTAGTTGTACCTATATGTTCTTATTTTCTGTACTTTTTATCCTACCCAAGTGCAGATAACTCATTACATCTTTAATTCTAACACAAGTATATTTTAAGCTTTCAGTGGAAAATTATGAAAAATATTGTCAGTCCAACAGTTTAACATTTAAGATGTATATTTCTAGACAGCATAAATATTATACAACATGCTTAAAGCAAAGTATTTGAACGTAAATCAAGGACACACCTTTTATCTTTAATATGTTCTGTTAATTTGGGAATAATATATCTTAATCTATACCAAGGTACATCTGTTGGTTAGTTAGGCTTATCCACACTTACCCTCATCTCCACGCGCATCGTCACACAGTATTTCCTGGTGCAGTTGATCGCTCTGACTGCACTGGCATTGTTCAAGCAGGAGGTATCACTGTACCCGTCCAAATAGGTGCACGCATAGCAATCGAGCGCTGCAAAATAAATGATAGATATACATATAATAGAGGATTGAACGAGGTCATGACGTTGCCTTTCGTTTTCATTTTCGTTTCGTTGTTTTCGAATTTAAATTTGATTTTGATGATCATCGTCATGATCGCGTTGTCGCTGTGCTTTTCTTAGAATTTATTAATAGCCACCCCCCAGCAGTGGATGCAATAACAACAAACATTAGCATCTATAAAAACACAATAATTAATTGAATTAAAGTGAGAAATCTGGCAGCAGACTTTCTGTCTATTTGCCAAGTGGCACGACAACGTCCTCGACATGTATCGCCGGCTATATGCGTACACGAAGCAGATTCTATATTTGAATCGGCCTTTTTGTGTAATAACAATGACGTCAATGGCCCCACTAGTGGCCACAGTCGGCCCGAGATGTGTAAACGGATTGATGACACGAGACTTTTGGCCGACCCTCGACAATGGTAGCCGTCAAAAGGCATTGAGATGGTGGGGATCGCAATCCTATGCTCTTACCACAAAATCAAACAGTTCTATTTCTGTGCGATTGTGCATTATGAGTTCTGCATAAAAGTTTAGCCACTAGGATCGTTCTTGGCACGCTTCGATGCGGTTCGCGGTATTAGAAAGATAGCACATTGTATCGCCTCGGTGGAAACAGTCACAATGGGCAGAAATCGGTGAAAATATTCAAATAATTTATCTGATTTTTGCTCTAAATAAATGTCACGAAATTGTGGGAATCAAGCGGTTAGTCATGTACATAAATATAATCAGTATATAGTTGCCGAAAATATTCAAACTATCTGATATTTGCACTAATTAATTATTGGCTGGCTCATATAAATAAATATAGTGCGCATAATGCAAGAGGTGTCGCATTATTTGCCAACTGGCCAAAATATTCAACATTTTGTTGTTTAATTTTAAATAAATCAAATAACCGTCATGAGATTGCTCATGTCTTTAAATATTTTCTGGGAAATGATAGATTAGAAATACTATAAGTGAGAATTTGATTTAAGTTAACTTCTTGCTTTAAGAATATACAAACAAAGAAAAATTACTTAAGAGTGATGTATTGTTAAAGCGTCTTACTGACAATTAAATAAATTTCTTAAGTTTAAGCTTTGGGCAGCTTTATCAACAATGTAAATCTAGTTTGGGCTTTAATGAATGCTTTCCCATAAATATGAAATATGAAATTTACATTTATGCTTCCATTGCAAATACAATCATTGAGCCTGAGTGTCCTCAGTTTGCTCCCAACAAAGGTTTGGCTTTTAACGCCTCCCATTCCACTGTGTCTGGAACAGCTCTTGGTTATTACTGGGTACTCGGAGATCTATGAAAAATGATTTGTATCATCTTTTGTGAGGCAATCAATAAATTTGAATGCGGTCACAGGCGAGTGACGTCGACAGCTGAACTCGACAAAACAGAACGAAGTGAACCGAACCGAATTGTAAGAATAGAACGCAAGGCACAGTTCTGTGAATCGAATGGGGGTCTATGTCCATGTCGAGAAAAATGAGGAAAAATGAGTGCCAAGAACATTTCAAATTCACCTGATTTTTCTCGCTAAATTTCCGCTGAGTTATGAGTCGTAGAACGGCCATTTCGCAATAAAACAGCTAATTAAGTTAAACGGAAAACGACCTGCTAAGCGAGCACTCAGTGCCACTTAGTGGGTTAGGTTAGGATTTGGATGGGTGGTTGGGTGGTTAGGTGGTTGAAAAAACCGGTGGAAATACCGTTCGTGAGGACTGCTGACATTAAGGCGACACATAGCAGCGTGAAGAGTACGGATTTTGACAGTCCGTGCGGCAGCTTCATGGCCATGACTTCTATTGAGATTCCCGATTTGACAGCTGCAGACGCCAATCCGGAATTCGAAATCCGGAATCGTTGGCTTCAACGGCTGGCACTTGACTGACTCGAGTGGAGTTCGATATCAGTCAGCGGAAAGTGATGTTTGACACATGGCAAACAATGTGCGATACACAAGTACAAGTACCTTATCGGTAACAACAACACGGGAAAGGCTCCTCTATTTGATCAGTAATTAATGGAAAATATTTCCCTCTTTTATCGTTTTGCAGCCCGACCGCTATGTCCCCGGCTCCCCCATCTTCCGCGACACCAGCAGCCCAACGCCCCACGCCGCCCTCGCGGGGCCTATAACATCACCGCCCGCCTCAGCCTCCCCCTGCACCACCGCCACCGCCACCTCCTCCGCCTCCGCCGCCAGCACCACCGCCAGTAGCACCGCCAGCAGCACCACCGCACCAGGAGCAGGAGGATCAGCGGCGTCCAGGAGCAGAGGAGCCAGAGGTATGTGTACCCGCGGAAATCAAAATTAATGTTGTTTTTGGTTTTCTGCGAAACATTTAATTCAAACGGTTTTAAACAAACTTAAATAAAGCCTTAAATAATAATATTTATTTATGTATGGCTTAAATAAAAATATTTATTTATTTATGGCCTAAATAATTTTGCATCAACTTAGTTGTTCATTTCTGTTAATAAGATTAAAGTATATTTTATGAAGTTGTTGCTTAAAAATGTTTTGACTCTTAGCCCTAACAGGATTATTGTTTAAGAAAAAAAGAATTTTTTAAAATGTTTTCAACAATCTATGCAAACTTAATTTCCATAAGTAGTAATAAGGTACAATTAATTTGTGCTGCTTAGAAGAAGCTATAAATGTATTTCAGAGAACGCTTTTTAAAAATCATCAATTAAATGATTATAAATCAAAGACAGTATTGCCTATTTTGTGTTTTATAAAATAGTCAGACTAAAAAAGGAGAAAATCAAAAAAAGTGCAAGACTTTAATTGATTTGTCATTTTATATCAACTGTTTTTTTCTGATTTTCAAATAAATATTTGGAATAATCTATCAATTTAATTGATATTTGCGAAAACATTTCCCAGTCCAAACCTATTTTTCTGAGTGTAGGATAAGATTTGTGGCCTGATGGCTGATAGTTGACACAGTTTTCGCGACATTTGTGTAAATAATGTACAATGGAAACATGCAAATGGCCCTGCCCGTATAATTTCCGGCCCTGTCAAACTTTGCGCGAATTCTGGGGCAAAGTCTTCGTCGAAGTCGACCTCTTTTTGTGCGCCTCAAGTTCCCTGACCTCCAGCGAATGTCGCCCATCGAGTGGACTAACTGGGGACGTGGTGGAAACCTTATGGGGAATCTCTTTGAGTGCGCTTGGATAAACAACCACAATTAGGGGAGAATGGGGACCGGGATATTCTGTCGTCCGCACAATTAATTGTGGAATGGAATTCGATTATTTGATGATTATTATCTCAGCGCTGTTTGATTGTGTGCTTTGTTTTTCCACGAAAAGTTCGCCCTGTTTACGTGCGAAAATCTCTCACCCACTCCGCATTTGCGGTTAGGGAAAATCCCCGGGGACACGCCACTCTCCGCCGGGAAAAGTTACCCGCCAGTTACCCCCGATTGGGGTTGAGTCACTTAATGGCGCAACATGTGAGCCACCGGCGAATGAGGTGCCCGTGTCACGCTATAGTCCATCGATTTTATTTGTTGATTTAGGAGCAGACCACCAATGCTGGTCAGGAGGTGGCGTTCCCTGCTACGACCAAATCAAGGGAGTCGGTTGCCTTTGAAGTGCATATTTCTAACCCCTACAAATAATTCATGGTATTACCTTTAACTTAAAATTGTCATTTTGATTTAAAAGCTCTTGAAGTTAGCTTTAAATAAAATTGGTAGATACTTGAATTAACTCATTTAATAAAGTCTTGCCAAGACCTTTGACCTAAAATATATAAAACTGAATTTCTAACTAGATTAAAGGAATTAATTTGTTTGAGTATGTGCATATAATTTTAATTTAATAGTCTAGTTTCATTCCCAAATTAGAAATATGTTATTCAAAATGGTATGCGTTTGTTTTGTATATTTGTTGGTTATGAGTTCATGAGTTCAAAAAAACAATTTCATTTTCATTTGTGATGCGATACCAACCTATTCCGAGCAACCACAATGCAAAACCGCAGGCTCAAAATGTTAGGGCTCTAGGAAACCGCAACTGTTTCTGAATGTACATAAACGACTTGTCTTTGGATCTGCTTTTTCATATCCCGCAGCCATGACGGCATCTCTTGCTCATGCCGCACAGGGTAACCACAACAACAACAGCAGCAGAACCAACTCCAATTCCGGAAAGCCCAAGCCACCGGCTGGATATATGAGCACCCGATCGGCGGCGATGATGGCCTTGGCTTTGGGTCAGCCATCCGGCGGAAGAAGCGACCAACCTCAGACCGCATCCCAGTCCCAATCGCAGTCCCCGCATCCCGGTGCCCGAAGGATCTCGAATGCCTCGTCCTTGCCCTGCAACGTGTCCAGATCGAAGCCATCCACTCCCACGGCGACCAGGGCGGCGGCTCAGCTAAACGGATCCAGTGTCTTCTCCGGCGGAAGCAACTCCAGTGGCTCCGACAACGACGGATTCAGTACGTCCGGCTCGTCGGCGGCCACAGCTCTTCGGCGACTGTACTTCAAGAGCGGACGCAGCATCAAGAACAAGATCAACGCCTCGACAACTTCGGCGACTCCGATGAATGGACTTCCCTTGAATCCCGTGTCCAGTGCTTATCACAACTCCGTGGGTGGACCCATGCACAACATGACGACTGCAGGTGGAGTCCCGAAGGTAAGTAAAACAAGAGAGAACGCTATAGTCGAGTGCCCCGACTATCAGATACCCGTTACTCAGGTAAAGGGAGTGCGAGGGAGATGGAGACAGAAACTTTGATCACGCATAACTTTTTAACGAATGGTCCGATTTGAAAAATTTCTTCTACATTTCGATAGGTATTGATAAACACAATAAAACTGCATTTTTACTTTTCCGAAATATTTAAATTTTTAAAATCGTATATAAGCTATTGTGGGCGTTAAAGAGGGCGTGGCACCTTTTTGAAACAAACTTGCGCTGCGTAGGAACTCCTAGAATCTGCATGCAAAATGCCAATCTTCTAGCTTTTATAGTTTCCGAGATCTCAGCGTTCATACGGACAGACAGACAGACGGACAGACAGACGGACAGACGGACAGACGGACAGACGGACATGGCTATATCGACTCGGCTAGTGACCCTGATCAAGAATATATATACTTTATAGGGTCGGAAACGCTTCCTTCTAGCTGTTACATACTTTTGCACGAATACAATATACCCTTTTACTCTACGAGTAACGGGTATAATTAAATGGTAATATATTCAAAATAGAACAATAAATACCTTAAGACTAGGTCAGTTTGGAATCTGGGTATTGGTGATTTAATAAATGTGTATTTTCTTTCACTTATTGTATTTTAAAGTGTCCAAAAGGCTTTTATTTTAAATTTAAAAGCCTTGATTCTTAAAATATTTTTAAAACAAATAATGACTTGGCCAGATGTAAAAAAAATTGATTTCTAATAACAAGTTTCCGTTAAGATGTAATGTTCAATCATTTTAAGAGCATTAATATTTAGTTGGTAAATTTGAGTTTTTCAAGAATCCAAAAATGATTATGAGAAGAACTTGGAAGGGGAATACCATTTACAACCCCTTTTAAAGCCCAAAAGTATTATATTAAAAATGTATGTTTTAGACCGGTCATTAAATGACGAACTGGGCAGACCTTAAGTAACAATGTTTGCTTCCGTTGCAGCTGGTGGTGATGGGAACCTCGTCGGCCTCCATTCCGGACACCACCATCAACACGTCCACGGACTCGGCCTGCACGCTCATCACGAATGTGACCCACACGGATACCTCCGAGACGTGCGACTCCCTGGACCTGGGTAAGAACATACTTCCTGATTTGATTGCTTGATTGATGTCCTCGCGGAGCCGCATTAATTAATCAACTAACTAATCAATCTGGTCCGCGCCTTCTGCTATCCCTTGTTTCGTTGCTTCTTCAAGGTGACAACTCGGGTCCCAGCGAGCCGCTTTTCAGTTCGCTGGAGGAGCCGCTCCTCACCGCCGTCCACATCGATTCGGAGCACGAGGGATTCGGAAGCATGGGAGGAGGCGGAGGTGCCAATGGACGCAGAGCCACTGAGCTGGAACTAACGAGCTGTTCGAGGTATCCGCCCAGGCCCGACATGAATCTGCAGGACAGCGTCGAGGTACGAAACGGAATTAAAATCCGGATTAAATCCGCTTGTCCGACAACCACTCCCCTCACTGAAGCATGTGATTATTTACCTCGTATTGTGCTCTGAAGTTTCTGAAAAAAGCCTGAAATGGGTCTTTTCTGCTTTTCAAACCTTGAAATCCCGCTTATTCTTAAAATTTAATATTAGGCCCTTGTCACAACTTGGGGTTGTAATAAACATAAAAAACTGCTTTCAGGAGAAATGATAAGTTTAAATTTAGTGGAAATTTTAATTTACCCTTGTACATTTACATTTAACTTATTTTTATTATTCTCAAAATATTAGTAGTCAACGGCTCCGACTTATTCAAAATAAAGTTGCAATAAATGAATAGTATTTTATTTAATTGTGTATTGTATTTAATTAAAAATATTATTCTGTCTTTACCCCTATCTAACACAGTTCTGAAAATGTTCTAAGCCCAAAAGAACAAATGAACATACAATATTAAGAAAAATTTGCTTTTAAAATGATTCATTTTGGTTTGTGAAGCTTTGTACGTGAACATTTATTAAATTTACAAACAACAATTTTCTGCACTTTACTCCATTTCCTGGCAAAGCCAGGAGTAATAAACTTTGTTATTCAATTATTTATTATTTGAGCGCAACATTTGCCTTATGGTGCAACCTATAAATTCTTACAACATTTGCCGTTATTTCACCCCTTTGCCTTGCAGAGCCAGGAGTCCTGTTTATCCATCCTGACC